TGTTATGTGTTTAACAAAAAACCCAACCCTCCTATGTATTTTCCTACTTGAAATGTGACTGGAAAACATTCAGACAGTTACTGTTTTACAGTGTACTTCCTGAAGTACTAATTGAAGAAATGAAATAGTTAATATTTCAGATAATTCTGTTATGTTGCTTAACTTTTTCTGATATCATTGCCAGAAGATCCTTTTTCTTCATATCTAGTACTTAACTGGAACAGAATATTGTAATGAAAGTATTATTATTTCAGATGAATAAGTCACCAGGCATTCTGATATTCATGATATGCTTTTAATGATATCATTAATTGAACTCCAAGTAAGGGAAACAAAATCTGTGTACTCTGTAATTTACGGAATTGAGAGTGTTTGACTATTGATCTGACAGCCTGGGATTTCTGCTCTCTGAATTAGTCCAAGGAACACGAAGGGATGCTTAGAGTTCCTGAGTTTTTAAAATAAAATACTTGTGTTAATAGTAGGGTGCAAAATTTAAATCCTTTCCTTTTTTTTCCATAAAAGTTTATGATTTCTTCTAGCATTAGGAGTATATTTTTCTTCTGACTCCCCTTTAGTCCTCAACACCTGTATTCCTGTTTAAGAGGGTGGAGAAAGGAGTAAAGAATAGTGCATAAATATTATTTAAAAAAAATACACACATGACAGTAATTTCTACAGGTTAATGATTTTAATGTAATTACATTGAGTCTGGGATTAACAACTCCTTGTCAGGGAACTACAGTGGTACACATGAATTTGGAGCAAGTCAGAAGAGAACAGAAGTGCAACTGCACGTAGTTAAATTTGAACAAGGAGTTGGAGGAAGGACATAGGTGATTGTTTTCAAATCGTGACAGGATTGCAGAGTGAGCGTTCTTTCCTTTAAAAAAAAATCTGATTAGTAGGGGCTATAAATCAACTTTACTCTTCAGAAGGAAGAAAGCAGCTCCATGCGTGCCTCTAACCAGTTTGGGCAACTGGCAGAGGAGTGAGTTAGTAGAGCAGTTCCTCTGGGGTTGTAAATTGAAGTCAATGGGACTATGACAGTTCATACCAGCGGAGGATGTACCACCTCGAAGATTGCTGATCCCACGTTATGCGTCTTCCAAGTAGTCCTTGGAGGATCCTTAGGACTGCTGCAGTCTGCTTCTGCTTAGCTGGCAAAATCTGACAAGGATCACGGCCCAAGGTGGGAGGTTTCCTGGCATAAATAATATTGTCTATAACCTCAGTTTCCTGATTCAGCATTTTGGATGTGAATAGTTTACAGGGAGAGGACTTCTAAATGAGAGGACAGTGCTTTTTCAAGGGACAAGGGTGTATTGGGCTCTGGAAGAGGTGGGAGGTATAAGGCTGGGGAGAAACCAGCAGAATACAAGTTTCCCCATCGAATGTTGGAGGAGTCAGAAGATTCTGGAAGTTTTCTGCTTCTCACAGCTTCCTGGTGTTTGTGCATCTGTTTCTATGGATTTGAATCTTAGTTGGATCAAAATGAGACCAGGATTTTGAAGCAGCTGGCAGTTGACTGGAGCACAATTTATTTTTTCCCTTAATGTGTTAAAAATGCCACTGTATTATGTGCTTACCCGTCAGAACACATACTCTTGAAAATCATTGCTGGGAAGGCTTCGTATGCATGACAGAAGGCTTTGCAAAATGCCTCTGGAGCACACCTCTACCTGAAAACGTCCCCATTGAAAAGCCGAAGAGCTCTTACCGCGTCGGAGCTACGTGCTCTGCACAACCAGAGCAGCGGGGTTAAATTCCCGCAGCTACGACTGGGGTGTAATGCAGACAGTTCACTGTCAATTAGTGCCCTTTGCAGTGTTTGGCCTTATTTGTCTTGAAATAATTGCGGTTATCATAGATGTTTTATTGCCTTCATTATGGTTAACATTTAAATATCAGTGAAATAGTATGCTACTAAGTCATCTGTGCAATAGCTATCTGCTAGAGTTATCCCTGAAATTTGTGTTTAAGGAGTATATTAATTCAGCACTGACTTAGGATTCTTAGAAGGAGGGTTATATATTTATTGATGAATTATGGGAAACTTTTGCTTATAGGGGCAAAACCTGAGCCACTCTCATCTGACATAGTGTGAGTAGAAATACCGTGTGATTGGAATAATGCTTTGTCTGTTAAAAAGAAATATTTTAAGAAATTAAAAAATATTTTTGAATCATCAAATCAGACAGTAAAGGCTGACCTTTCCACATCCAGATGAAGAATTGCTCTGGGAGACAGGGATTTGTTCTCTACCCTCAGCGCAGGAGGAAGCTCGCTGTCACGTCCTGTTCTGCCTAAATCTAATCCATGTCCTTTTGAAATCAATAGGAAGTCTTCCTTGAATTCCTATGGTTTCTATTGACTCCTACAGTGCCATGCGTGACCTATTCAGACATCAGCTATGTATGTGATTTAATTTTTGTGAGCTGACTTTACATGTGGCTTTTATTTATAAATATATACCTAAAATCTTCCAACCAAGTGCATAGCTCATTTTTATGTAACAGGCAATTGAGGCAGAGGGTGAATTATATTTTTATGTTTAGAGAGAAAAAATAGTGGTGCAACTAGAAATTCCATTTGTGAGCCCTGTTTGAACTTCCCAACATGCATGTGCAAATGCAACTAGCAAATAAATATAGATATTGAGGAGTGAGTGTGTTGCTGTATATACGTATGCACCCTTATAAGAGCTTTTGTTCACTTTCTGAAATTGTTGTACATGCTTACGTTGGCTAACTGTCCACAAAAGACTTTGGGTTGTATCGCTGGCTAAATAAGGGACTCAAGCAGTAGCAATTGTATGACAAAGCAGTTCATTTTGTGCCATATAAACTGCCACAGTGGGACATTTGTGTTGTCATCGTGACATTAGCAGGAATTTCAGCGCTACAGAAATACTCTCATACTCATTGCGTTCACTCCCAGCTGAAGCAGTGGCGTGTGCAGATTGTGATGCACGGCTGATGAAATGACATGGCTGATAGCTTACTTTCAGGTTTACTTCTGAAGTTGACAGGATTTCCCTCGTCATCTTATCTCATAATTTTATAATAGACTGTTTGAGTCTTTGCATATTGAGAAATTGAGTACACAAACTCGTAATTTTGTATACCTCTTGATCCCGATACTTAGCTCTGTGATTCTAGTCCAATTTTTGGCATCATCAGGTTTTCTAGAGGGTCTGGAATGAATACTATGTATTATACTCTAAGCCAAGATGCACTAAGGCCCTACAGCTCTTATCAGCCTGGTCTGCGAATGTGCGTGACTTGACTGACACAGATCTCTGGGAACAGATCTCACATGCAGACTCCAGATTTCCAAAACTTTGTTTTTATTAACATAACTCACTCTGCATACACATTTGGAAAGGATGGGTAATTTTGCTCTGTTGGTGCAGTTTGCTGTCATAGGTAAGCTGACAGCCCCCAAGCTTGCTCCAGATCGATAGTGCATCCATCTGGTGCGGGGCTACGCTGAAATACCAGCTACGATCCTAGTAACAAAGCGGGTGTGTTCTGTCCTGCTGGGCTGCGGTGCAGCAGCAACACAAACACACTGCTGCCAGTGTCAGGGCCCGCTCACACACCTCTCCTGAGCATGCCTGTGCACAGCGGTGTTACCCACCAACCGCTTGGCTTTGCCAGTATGTTTATGTGTCCTCCTATGTACCAGAAAAACAGTCTCAATAGGGTGTAATCTAATTTAGCTTTAATCTGCTGATGTTGTAGGTGATAGTTTTGCCAAGGGACTTCTAGGCAGAATTGTAAAAATGTTTTTAAATTGGCAGATGACCAAGAAGGCTACTTAACATCTGTAAGCGTCTTCAAGAGCTTTTGATTAAATGTCCTATGTAAATACATAACATTGGAACAACTAAATAGTTCAGGGAAAAGAGTAACATGCCTTTGGGTTGCTTCAGCAGGTATTTTCTTCAACACGTACACAAACGCACAAAAGCACTATCTTCTACCAAAGCGATGCTGTGGAGTGCCGTGGCCCTCGTACAAGGCAGAGGTAGCTCTATGCGGTGGTGCTGTGGACACCTCACCTTTCAAATAGGCAGCTGCAGCCAGCAGCAGGACCTGGAGCCATCACCGGCCCCATCAATTCTCGTGACAAACCGGGCTACTGTATTTGGTGCACTTGGAACATGGCCATTATGCCCTGTTGGAGTGCTTTCCATTTCCTGTGCCATCTTGATAAACTTTATAGCCTCTAATTTGCTAGAGAGTCATTGATATAATTAGGAGCAATATAAATGGGAGCAGCACACTCAGCTGATGATAATCGAATCAGTTCATTTTTCATAAGAAGCACTAAGGGGGTCCCTACCAGCAGCTGAGGTCATTTTCTCTTTAAGCTCTGCTTTGATAGAGCAGCAGAAATCCTTACATGCCTGGGTCACAACCTGTTTTCTTATGGTCTGTTCCACTACCCGTATATTTTTTCATAAGGAAACCAAAGAAAGGGTACCCGTCCATCCGTGTGTTTTCAAAAGGGCAATTTGAGCCGTCTGTCCATGTAAGCTGGCTGCGTTAACAAGCCTGTGAGAGTCAACAGCTCTCTTTTAGCATGAGAACGAGCGCTCTAAGTGCAAAGCTTCTGTGTTGCGGCATTTGAGTTTGAAGTTCCTCCACTCAAGTTGCACCAGGTTTTCAAGCAAAGTGGCGGCTTAACCAAAAAGTCTGAATCTGTTCTAGTAGTTGATAAAAACTCATCTCCTGTGCTCCTTGGTTCTCAGACATGGTAAATAATAACCTTCATCCATTTTATGCAGCTGTTGGTTGCTTTGCCCTAACAATATCTTTCATGATACGTCACAAATTGTCTGAGGTATCAGTCAGCATGTCTTACTGCTCGCAGCCTAGCAGATTTATTACCAAGAGTTTTAGTAGTGTTTCTGTAAATACTGTGTTGGTGAAGAAATGTAAATAATTGATCAATTATTCTCTTTTCTCTTTTTTTTTTCTCTCTCTTAACAGTACTCTCAACAATAACAACATCACCCGCATTCCTGTTACCAGTTTCAATCACATGCCAAAGATCAGGACTCTGTGAGTAATATCTTCAGAAACAAAAAAAAGATGATGGTGTAAGCCAAATCCTTGGATATTTGTCATCTTATGATAATCTTATTTTAGTCGCTTCCCCCTACTCTGTTGCAGAAGGAGGTCAGTGAAGCGGTCTGACACTGAGGGCTGTGGTGGGGGCAGCCTTGGGCTCCTCTGTGGGAACAGGGACATCAGCCCATGGCTGGGGACCTGCTCAGAGGGGTCCCGTGGCCACGGGGGTGGGCTGGGGCAGGACTGGAGACCCGCACCACTATGGCCTCGCTGGGGCAGGGCTGGGAGCCCCGGGCTGCGCTGGGGTCCTGGGCCAGGTCTGGGCTGGGGAGGCCAGGCAGGGTTGTGAAGGCTGCTGGTGCCCTCGGGGCCCTGGCAACGAGTTCATTGGATTTATCCAGGGTTAAGTAAGATTCAGGTTTGATTTTGAATTTAACAGGAACTGAATCTGGAAAATTTTTCCCATGAGAAAAATCCATAACGTGAAAATGTGTTCCAAGCTGGAATATCACCAAAATTGAGAAAACTCCTCAGATGGATCAAATTATTTAATTTTGTTAATATCCTGCATTTAAATCCTGTTTCTTCTTTTCAGATTCAGAATACTAATTTATTAAACAAGAAATTTTTTAAAGAACTTGGAAAAAGCTTCTCTTCCAGATGCTTTCTGAAACAAAATGTCACTCATTCTGATGCATTTTTTATAAAAGCTTCTCTTACGTCAAATCCATTTTTCTATAGCAGACACCATGCCACTAGAAAAGCTCTGATCGGCTTTAGTAGACCAAAATACAAAGATTGTGAAATTAGACTGTGGGCATTTGTATAATTTAGCCATAGCCTACCAAAAATATTTTCTTTAAAAAAATTTTTTTCCTTTAAATTCCTGTAGGGAATATACAACTTGAGGAAAAGTCATGTTTAAACAAAGCCTGTTTTTTTCCTCCAAAATCTCAAACTCAACCAAGATGTATTTAGTCCTGAAAGCAAAGAAAGAGAAATAGTAGCTAGTCTGAAAATTTTCTATGGCATTGAATAAATGAAATGCTTCAAGGATGCTACATGTGTAAAATAGTATTAGATAAGTTAACAGAACTGAAGAAAAATTATTCTTACTCATGTCAGTCCATGTAAGCATAGCCTCTGATTTAAATTTACATTCTTCATCAAATGGTGACATTCATAGATCTTAATGTAAGTAATTAAATGGAAATTAGATGTTTGTCTTTTAGAAGAGAATGGATAAAGAAGATAAAGGTAGGGTTAAGGTTCCTGGAGTTTTGCCTTTTCTCATTCAGTCACAGTGGTCCAGAAAATTTGCCTGGCTTCTTCAGATTAGTCAGTCTTGTCTGTTACCAGAGCTCAATGCCTTCTGCCATTTTCCTTTTAGTTTAATTTCGGAGATGGCTTTGTATATAGCTCCCTGGAGACTTACACTGACTAATCCCCCTCTGCTGTAATTAAGGAAAAAAATAAAAAAGAAAAAAAAAAGGGAAGGAAGTCATAAATAGGATTTATAAAGGGAAGCTTTTATATTGAATTCTGAGAGCCACATTTTATAGAACATGAATGCTGACCCACTCTAAAAGGATTTGCTGGAAATTTAATTTAGGGTCTATGGCTAAAAGGGCACCTTTGCAAACTTGCATTCGTATTCATTCACCTCGTGTTCTGTAAAGGCAGTTTCAGCAATATCAAGTGGCATGTTTCAGTCTGCAAAGACTGCCAAATAACACGCAGCACCCTTCTTAGCAGGTCGATGTAGGGATTAAAAAATCCTACATAGACAGGTGGAAATACAGTAAAAGTGATTTAGTTTTCTATATTTCCTTCCATCTGTTTCAACAGAGGCAGAAAAGTCATCAAAATAGCATTTAATGTAAGATAAATACAGGAATCAAACAGCATTTCATGATTTCTTCTTCCTATTAAAAATTCTTCCTCTATCCCCAAGCCATCTTACATATTACTCAATACTTTCTGAATATCTTCTGTTCAGAATTTAGTCTAATACTAAAAAAAAAAAGAGAAAAGTGCTTGTAAGGTTTGAAGCACTTGAAGAATTCTTTAAAAAAAAAATCAGTTCTGTGCTACCTTCTTTTATTTAACTGTCTTTTCTGTTGCGAAGTTTCATTGATCTTTTAGCCTTGATTGGAAGTGACAGGAATTAGTTTTTATTGATCTGCTTTCCTTTGCTTGAAACAGCTTTATTTATGTTAAAGCATGTTCCCCATGCCTATTTGCTTAATGGTAAGTGTCCTGTTGTCTTTGCCTGTGCAAGTGACTGCTGAGATAGGTGATTACATAATTTCTTTTAATTTTTTTTATTTAAGGCTAAACTGAAAATGGTGGAAAATCACTTCAGTACTTTTCAAGTTCACAGGGAATTGGTGTATTATGCTTTTAAGTACCATGAAAAGTCTTTTTGTGGCTATATTCATCAATATAATTATAAAAAATACATTCGAATAGGCTGCTTTGTTAAGCTTGACAGGGTCTCTAAATGGTCTCCTCTCAAAAGCAAACCGTAGAATATCCATGCAAAAAACTTGAGCAAATGACAAGGTAGGGCTCTGCTGAGGCAGGCGAGGTGGCAAAGAGGTGACAGTTCACACTCCTAAAATGGGAAACCCCAGAAACCACCTACATGAATTTAGTGAGGGGAGAAAACTCCTCAGAGAATTGGAAAGCTGCCCCTTTTTGTGAAATTGCAGTTATATTACTCCTGCCTGCCTACATCCATACAGAGGATGCAGGGAATGGCATGGGATGAGCTCTGTTTCAGTTCCTGAAAGAAGAAAAGATGATTCTAAATATCGTTGTTGACTGCTGTGGTGGGAAGGGATAATAGTTTGAGGATTTAAATGAAATGCTTACTCTCTAAGTTAGAACAAAGTTTTACTTTCTGGCTAGATGATATTGTTCTCTTTTCTTTGTAATTGTATTTTTCTTTCAATCAACAGATTAATGGTTCATAATAACAAAACATTTTACTAGAAATCTAACTTACTGCAGTGTCAATAAAATAGCTTCATAATCCCTAAACCCAAGGTCTTCTAGTGTTCTTCTAAAACAATTACGTTTTACAGTGCTCCCAAGAGACTAGCCTCCTCCATCGCTATGGGATAAACTCTCAGTTCCAGATTGGCAGTCTTTTACTGTGACTGCCCACCCCAGCCATACAAATCTGGGGGCTGTCAGCCCAGACGCCACTGCTGACCTGCTCTGCTGCTGTGCAATATGAAGATCTCACAGATAGACAGTTAATTTCTTTGGTGGATGGACAGGGCTAAATCCTGTGCACACCAATTGTGTGGGTTTTTTTTAAATGTAATGCCTGTGATACTAGTGAATAATGCTTTGTCTAACCATTTCTGATAGGATTTTCAATCTGGTTTATCATTTCATCTTTGGTATAGCACTGCAAATGTATGACTCATTACAAGGAATGAAATAATTAATGTCCTGGGCTTTTTGTTTTGACCTAAAGTTTGGTAGCTATTAAAATTACCAGATTCACTCCCTGAATGGATCATCATTTTGCAGACTTCCCTCCGCAATGTGATAATGCTTCTGCAAGTCTCTAGTGCCAGGCATGAAGAAGACTGGGAAGGGGGCTGTGTGGCTAGATCTTCCACTGTGAAGAACAGCCCAGGCACTGCAGTGTGGCTCGACTCTGTCGTGGTCCCCTTCTTCATCAGGAGTTGAAAATTCCTGTCTAGAACCTGCACACTTGTGCTAAATTGCCCCTGTAAAAAGAGCATTGGTGAATTTGTACAGGCAGCACAGGAACATACAAGGTATCAATAGCCTCTGGTGTGTGGGGTCGTTCTCTCTCTCCAAAGGAGAGACAAGAGGGGAGAATCACCTATCATCCTGGTTTTCAGTCTGGTCCTCATGTTTAGACAAGCCATCCTTGGAATTCACTCATCGACATCACATTCATACAGTTATTTCTGATGTGGAATCACAGGCAAAGGGATTACTTGAAGGAATCTTAAATTCGGCATGTTCTTTTCTCTCAAGTGGCCAGCTCATGATTACCTGTAGGTGGGTAATTCCTTAACTTCATTCTTCCAAGACCTTATAAATAATAACACCAATTTATATGTGGACATTTGTTTATTATATGGCAGACAGTCAAGACCTGGCCCAACCGTAACCACTAACCTGCAATGATCCTACTGAGATTGTAGTGATGAGCCAGGCTGACTCATACTTGATTGCTCTGGTTTGTGCCTTCTGTTTAAAAAACTACTGATAACTTTAGGGTTGTTCTGTCTTTTGTAGGCGGCTTCACTCCAACTTCCTGCACTGCGACTGCCACCTGGCTTGGCTGTCTGACTGGCTGCGACAGAGGCGCACCATCGGGCAGTTCACCTTCTGCTTGGCGCCTGTAAATCTGCGGGGTTTTCTTGTGGCAGAGGTTCAGAAGAAGGACTTTGTCTGCTCTGGTAATGATGCCAGTTATTCATTTATCTATCAGCTGATGGCTTTATATTGATATTCACATAAAAACAGTGAGTGGAAAATTATTATGTTGTGTTTGAATGCCATTCTGTAGCAGTCCTGTTTGTTTTTATCATTGCTAAACTGTGTGGGAGTAGATCAAATTGTTAATTTTTCCAGGTTTATAAGAATTATTGGATTCCATTTAATCATTCAGTTCTCAAATTATTTTTTTTACTTTAGCATTGGCAATGATATCAACATAAGAAATCAGTTAAGTGTGGGTAATTTGGTATTTCTCAAGGGAGAGCTCTACAGCTGACTGGAGTACAAAAGAAAGGAAATAGAAAATGCTAATCTGAGTCTGTTGATAAATTATTGGACTATAGAACAGGAGGAGCAGATTTTATCCTAGGGACTGAAACAGGATTCTTAGGGAGCCAATGCACTTCTCTGTTCTACAAGTTTCCACACTGATAAATGAGGCTGATGATACATGGCCAACTCAAAAACCATGTGTCTATATGTTGGGCCTATTCATCAAGTCTCTGGAACCGCACTTGGCTCTTTTGTGATAGAAATGCATTTTCTTAAAAGAACAAGAAAAAGAAAGAAAGAAAGAGACAGAGAAAAATTGGAAAAAGAAATCTCTGAATTTGGCTGAAAGGAGGAGATCTGGCAGAGAAGCATAGCAGTGTGTATGCTGTGGGGGGAAAAAAAAAAAAAAGGAAGATACCAGACACAAGTTTGGAGACAGTTTTGCAGGCCAAATGGTAAGTAACACAGGAGCTTGTTATGACGTGGATGAGAGTCCTCATCTTGATAGATTGTGAGTCTTGTAGTATTGTGTTCTTTATCTCTCACAGCCTGTGAGCCCTGAAACTTTATCCTCCTGATGCAGGGGTTGACTGGCAGAAATACAGTACAAGTGCTCGTGCTAGAAATGT